GTGCCCAGGAGAAGCCCAGCTACAAACCAAGGCAGGCTGCCACTACCACTGGCCCTGGTACCACTTAATGAGAAGTCAGGGGCATGCTGAGGTGAGATGCTACTTGTTTTTAGGGATTTTAGGAAAGTCTGAGGCATGAGCCAAGACAAGTAATTCCTGTGGAAAAGCCACTGGAAACAGGTTGGTTGGGCCCACAATTTGGGTGGGGCAGGGTCTCAGGGAATCACCAGGGTGGGGCAAACAGTGATAGCTAAGTTGGTGGAGACTCAGATATGGTGCCTTCCTGCCAGCTGTGAGGTAAGGCTTAGCAAAGGAACAATGGCCTCTGCCAGCACTTCTGTCTGGGAGAAACCTGCTCCTCCAGTTCTTGCCCTGATGCCAGACAGTTCAGTGAAGTTGGTGCCCCAATGCAGTAGCAGAGATGGAGTAAGTTTGAATAAGTCCATATGAGGGCCCTTTAAGAGGAATGTTGGGTCTCCAGAAGCCCTCTCTCTCTCATTCAACCAAAATCCTCACTGGTTTTTATAACCAGAAGCTATGGGGCTTTCTCTTCCTGGCACTGGAACCCTGAGCTGGAGGGCCTGATGTGAAGATGCAATCCCTCACTCTTCACAGGGGACTTCCACAACCAAGATATCCCTCCCAATTTTAACCACCACAAGTGGGTGTGAGATCAGAATGTTCTGTGCATCTTTGCCTCTCCTACCAGCCTCCATGTAATATCTTATTTTTTTAAATTTTTTATTTACTGATTTCAGAGAAAGAGAGGGGAAGAGAGAGACATCATATGTTGTTCCACTTACTAATGCATTCATTGGTTGATTAAAAAAATTTTTATGTGTTTATTTTAGTGAAAAAAAGGGAGAAAGAGAGAAAAACATCAACTCGTTCCACCCATTTATACATTAATTGGTTGGTTCTTGTATGTGCCCTGACCAGGGATTGAAACCACAATGTTGGTATATTAAGATGATGCCCTCACCACCTGAGCTACCTGGCCAAGGTCTAGCTCATTTATAGCCTTAGTTGTAGGACTTCTGTTCAGCTAGATTTCAGGTGGTTCTGAATAACGGTTGTTCTGTTGTTTAGGTGTAATTTTGATGTAGTTATGGGGGAGAATGCGAGTACTGCATTTTACTTACTTTGTCATCTTGACCAAAAGTATATTATCATTTTTTGAATGCACAAAAAAATGCATAGAACAGAAATGTACAGTTTAATGAATTGTTGTAAAGTTAACCTCTATGTGATTATCATTCAGAATAAAAATTGAACCTTGCCAGCACCCTAGACCCATCTGCACATCCCTTCCAAACCGTGCCCCCTTCCTCTCTTTAAAGATAACCATTGTCCTGATGGAATGGTATAGTATATTAGTGCATATTTGGGCATTTGATTTATGACAATGGTGGCACTGGAAAGCAGTGAGGAAAAGAAAGTATTTTCAGTAAGTAGACTGGGTCAATGTTTTTGGCAATATTTATTCTTTATTGTTATAAATTTTTATTATTTTTATTAGTAATTATTATTCTTTATTATTATTTTTTCTTTTTGAGTGAGGAGCATGCTTTTTTTACAGCACTGTGGACAAGTCAGGGAAGTATAGAATCTTTAGATTCCATATATATATATATACATATATATATATATATATATATATATATATATATATATATATATATATATGTTAGAATACCACACCAACTGCATTACATAATACAGCAGTTACTAACAATTACATAATACAGCAGTTACTGTAGGCAAGTTAGGGTAAAATTTTATTGCTAAAAATATTTATAGCGGAGACTTCTGGCAAGATGGAGGCATAGGTGCATGCACCGTGCCTCCACACACAACTGAGATTGGAGTAACAACAATTTAGAGGTAGAATAACACCCAGAACTGACAGAGGATTTATCTGAATGGAAGTCGGACAGCCAAGAAGTTGAAATAGACCCGTTCATCCAGACCGGTAGGAGGGGCGGAGACAAGCAGCTGGGCATGGGGTCGCGGCATGGAGAACAGGGACAATTGGGTGCATAAGGCAACCGGGAGCACATAAGGCATCTTGGGCACACAAGATCAAAGTGGGTGGACCCTGAGTATGCAAGCGGCAGCTAGCAGACCCAGTGAGGCGGTGATTGTGGAGCAGGGCAGAGTGCGCAACCAAGGATCCCAGGGAAGGGATGAGGATACTGCCATTGTTCCCTGGCGACCCCGCCCCCACATACTACGTCACAATCTAGCGACTGGGGTGCCCAGCCCTGGTGAACACCTAAGGCCCTGCCCCTCACCATAACAGGAGCAACCACTCCAAAAGAGAGAGAGAGAGAGAGAGAGAGAGAGAGATGGCTCAAACAGAAGCACAAATCAGTGCCCCAGAACTCATCATTTTGAGTGACCAAGAGATAGCTAACCTATCAGATGCACAGTTCAAAACACTGGTGATCAGGATGCTCACAGAATTGGTTGAATTTGGTTGCAAATTAGATGAAAAAATGCAGGTTACCATAAAAGAAATGAAGGAAAATGCACAGGGAATCAACAGTGATGGGAAGGAAACTGGGACTCAAAACAATAGAGTAGACCAGAAGGAAGAAAGAAACAACCAAACAGGAAAGAATGGAGAAATAAGAATTCAAAAAAATGAGAAGCTTAGGAACCTCCAGGACATCTTTAAACATTCCAACATCTGAATTATAGGGGTACCAGAAGGGGAAGAGGTAGAGCAACAGATTGAAAAGTTATTTGAACAAATAATAAAGGAGAACTTCCCCATTCTGGCAAAGAAAATAGACTTCCAGGAAGCCCAGGAAGCTCAGAGAGTCCCAAAGAAGTTGGACCCAAGAAGGAACACACCAAGGCACATCATCATTACATTAGCCAAGGTCAAAATGAAGGAGAGAATCCTAAAAGCAGCAAGAGATAAAGAGACACTAACCTACAAAGGAGTTCCCATCAGACTGTCAGCTGCTTTCTCAAAAGAGACCTTACAAGCAAGAAGGTTCTGGAAAGAAGTATTTCAAGTCATGAAAGACAAGGACCTATATCCCAGATTACTCTATCCAGCAAAGCTTTCATTTAGAATGGAAGGACAGATAAAGTGCTTCTCAGATAAGGTCAAGTTAAAGGAGTTCATCATCACCAAGCCTTATTTTATGAAATGTTAAAGGGACTTATCTAAGAAAAGAAGATTAAAAAAAAACCATGTATAGTAAAATGACAGCAAACTGACAATTATTAACAACCACACCTAAAGCAAAACCAAAAGAAACTAAGCAAACAACTAGAATAGGAACAGAACCACAGAAATGGAGATCACATGGAGGGTTAGCAACAGGGAAGTGGGAAGAGGAGAGAGGAGGGAAAGGTACAGAGAATAAGAAGCATAGATTGTAGGTAGAAAATAGACAGGGGGAGGGTAAGAATAGTATGAGAAATGTAGAAGTTGAAGAACTTATAAGTATGACACATGGACATGACCTAAAGGCGGGGAAGTGGGTGGGAGAAGGTGTACAGGGTGGAGGGAAGGGGGGAAATGGGACAACTGTAATAGCATAATCAATAAAATATATTTAAAAAACAACAAAAAAACAACAAAAATATTTATAGCAAATATATGTGTGGATGATGGGCTGTTTATATATGCTCTTGATTTGTTCTCTCTCTTGATTTTCTTTATACTTTCACTAAGTGTTCATCAAAAAACACTACATGTTACTTCCATCTCTTTTTGAACTTTACATAACAATAATTATACCACTGGCACTTATTTGTGTCTGTTGTCTTTAGTGGCTATTATGTTTAGTAGATGCACTTTGTGTTGCTGTGGCGCTTTGCATGAATGTACCACAATTTATTTATCCATTCTGCTGCTAATACATATTTTGAGTGTTTACAGGGCTTGGGCCATTTTGAGAGGGGAGAAGAATATTATAAATAATGCTTCTGTGAACACTCTTTTGTCTCCTAGTGCCCCATGCTTTTCTGTTGGGTGTGTAGGTGGAGTGAAATTGCTGCATTACAGGATACACTTTGTTCAACATCACAAGTGCTGTCTGGTCAAAGAAGCACACACCAAGGCACATCATAATTATGTTACCCAACATTAAAGATAAGGAGAGAGTCTTAAAAGCAGCAAGAGAAAAGGAGAGAGTTACCCACAAAGGAGTTCCCAAAAGACTATCAGCTGATTTCTCAGAAGAAAACTTGCAGGCAAGAAGGGGCTGGAAAGAAATATTTGAAGTCATCAAAGGCAAGCAGCTACATCCAAGATCGCTCTGTCCAGCAAAGCTATCATTTAGAATGTAAATGCAGATAAAGTGCTTCCCAGATAAGGTCAAGTTAAAGGAGTTCATCACCAAGCCTTTATTACATGAAGTGTTTAAAGGGACTTATCTAAGAAAAAGAAGATAAAAAATATGAACAGTAACATGACAATAAACTCACAACTATCAACAACTGAACCTAAAAACAAAAGCAAAAACAAAAATGAACTAAGCAAACAACTACAACAGGAACAGAATCACAGAAATGAAGATCACATGGAAAGTTATCAGTGTGGAGGGGAAGAATGGGGGAAAAGGTATGGGAACTAAGAAGCATAAATGGTAGGTACAAAATAGACAGGGAGAGGTTAAGAATAGTATGGGAAATGGAGAAACCAAAGAACTTATATATATGACCCATGGACATGAAATAAGAGGATGGGGGGAGAAATGCTTATGGAAGGGAGGTGCAGGGGAAAGGGGAATAGAGGGAGAAAAAATAGGAAAGCTGTAGTAGCACAATCTATAAAATATATTTAAAAAAATAACAGAAACTTGAAAGCTGAAAAAAATTTAAAAAGAATGCCCATTGCTCCATTCTTGGTATTGCTTGGCCTTTTAATTTTAGTTATCTTGGTGGGTGGGAGCTGAAGTATCTCCGTGTGTGTGTGTGTGTGTGTGTGTGTGTGTGTGTGTGTGTGTGTGTGTGTGTGTGTGTGTGTTTGTGTTTTACACTGTCCTGGGATAGAATGGACCACCTCAGTAGCTTCTGAGGCCAGTACATTCCTGTCACCACAATTACTTTAGCAAACCTGGTTCTCTTCACTTCTACAACATCATGCACATGCAGAGTTAGTCATCAAGTTTGCACCCTGTGTGTGTGTTTTAAGATTTTATTTATTTATTCTTAGAGAGAGGGGAAGGGAGGGACAAAGAATGGGAGAGAAACATCAGTGTGGTGGGTTGCCTCTCCTATTCTCAACCAGAGACAAAGCTGCCACCCATATTGTGCCCTGACAAGGAATCCAACCAGTGATCTTTTATTTTGGGGGAGGATGCCCAACCAGCTGAGCCACACCAGTCAGGGCTCTGTGGTTTCCGTTTGCATTTCCCTAGTTACTCTTGGGGCTGAGCAACTTTCCTTAAACTTTTCCTTGGATATCTAGTTTTGCAAACTGTTAGCTTATTGTCCCCTTGAAGAGTGTTTTTTTCTTATTCACATACAAGAGTTTTTCTTTTACATATTTTGATATTCAGCTCTTTGTTGGTTAAATGTATTACAAATATATTTTCATACTCGGTAGCTTACCTTTTCACTCTTTCAATGAATCTTTTGATGACTAGAAGTTATTAGTTTAATGAATCAGTTTATCGATTCATTCCTTTATAATTATTGCTTTGTGTCCTATTTAAGAAATATTCCCTACTTTAAGGACATAGATATTCTCAATTATCTTCTGAAAGATATATTGTTTCCCCTTTTATATCTAGGCCTACAGTTCCCCTGGAATTAATTTTTGTGCATGGTATGAGATAGGGAAGCAAGTTTTGTGCATGGTATGAGGCAAGTTTCTCTTTTGTCCCCCATATTCATGTCTAGTTGATTCAATCTTCTGATTGAAAATTCCTTTTCCCACTGCTGTGCAGCACCATGTTTGTCATAAATCAATTGTCCAAATACTCATAGGTCCATTTCCGAGTCTTCATTTGTTCTCTCCACCTGTGTGTCTGTTACTGCAGAACACCACACTACCGAAATGGTTGTGAGCTTTGTAAAAATTCTTGATTTCTGGTAGAACAAATCCTTCTACCTTGTATAGTTTTCTTCAAAGAAGAGTTCTCTATTTTTTTTTTGTTAGGTTTAGCTCTGGGTATTAGAAATTTTTATTCTGTTTTAAACAGTATCTATTTAAAATTTTCATTTTCTGTTTGTCACTGACATATAGAAATACAATTTATTTTTATTGAATTTTATCAGCAACTTTGCTGAACTCATTATTAATTCCAGTAATTTATTGTAAATTCTTTGGATTTCCTATTTGCAAGTCATTTCATCAACAAATCATTACATTTTCATTTTTTTTCTTTCTAATCATTATGACTTCAATCTCTTTTCTTCTTGCCCTTCTATGCTTGGATCTCTCCAGGGTCTGGAGTGTAACTTTCAGTACAGGCAGCAGTAATGTGCATCCTTGCCTTGTTCCAAATCTCAAAGTGAAAGCTTTCAACATCTCATCATTAAGTATGACATTTGCTCTAGGTGTTTTTTATAGGCAATGTTTATCAGATTATGAAAGTTTCCTTCTATTATGAGTTTTCAGAAGTATGTTTAATATCATGAATGCATGTATGGATATTGAGTTTTATGAAATGTTCTTTCTTTAACTTCTAAAGTGATCATGATTTTCCCTTTATACTCTGTTCATGGAATGGATGTCATTCATTGATTTTTCTAACATTAAACCAACCCTGGAATAAGCAGCATTTGATCATTATGTACCACAAGATTCAGTTTGCTAATATTTTGGTTAGGATTTTCACATCTATGTTAACAAGTGAGGTTAGTTTGTAATTTTCCTTTCTCATAATGTCTTATCCGGTTTGATGTCAAGGTTATTCTGACCTGATATGTAGTGTTTCCTTTGTTGTGTAGAACTGGCATTATTTTCTTCCTTACATGGCTGGAGAAATACACAAGTACTGCCACTGGGGCTTGGAATTTTCTTTGTGTGAAGGTTTAAAATTATACATTTAATTTTTTAATGGCTATAAGACTATTAATTTCTTTTTGTGTGTGTCAGTTTTGGATTATCATATTTTCTACAATTTTTCCATTTCGCCTATGTTTTAGCATAACACTTTTATATTGTATATAACTCCTATTCTTTCTTTTTATATTTTAGGTGTACAAAACAGGGATTTTAGTACATACATATAGTTGTACAACCCTCACCACTATTTAATTCCAGAATATTTCAATTATCCCCCTGTGAAACTCTATATCCATTAACAGTCACTGCCATTCTCCTGTTTCCCCAGCCCTTGGCAACTAGTAATATACTGTCTCTATTGATGTTCTGGAAGTCTCATGTAAATGGAATCATACAACATGTAGACTTTTGTGACTGACTTCTTTCACTTACCATGTTTTTAAGGTTTGTTTATGTTGTAATATATAGATCAATACTTCTTCCCTAAGTATATTTTATTGATATGCTATCACAGTTGTCCCATTTTTTTTCTCGCCTTTATCCCCCCATCACCCTGCACCCCCCCACCAGCATTCTCCCTCTTAGTTTATGTCCATGGGTGGTACATATAAGTTCTTTGGCTTCTCCATTTCCCATACTATTCTTAACCTCCCCCTGTCTACTTTATGCCTACCATTTATGCTTCTTAATCCTTGTACCTTTTCCTCCATTCTACCCCCTCCCCCATGGAAAATGCTCCATGTGATCTCCATTTCTGTGACCCTGTTCTGCTTGTTTGCTTGTGGGTTGTTTTTTTTTTTTTTAGGTTCAGTTGTTGATAGTTGTGAGTTTGTTGTCATTTTACTGTTCATAGTTTTGATCTTCTTCTTTTTCTTAGATAAGTCCCTTTAACATTTCATATAGTAAGGGGTTGGTGATAATGAACTCCTTTAACTTGACCTTATCTGGGAAGCTCTTTATCTGCCCTTCCATTCTAAATGAAAGCTTTGCTGAATAGAGCAATCTTGGATGTAGGCGCTTGCCTTTTCATGACTTGGAATACTTCTTTCCAGACCCTTCTTGCCTGCAAGGTTTCTTTTGAGAAATCAGCTGACAGTCTGATGGGAACTCCTTTGTAGGTTATTGTCTCCTTCTCTCTTGCTGCTTTTAAGATTCTCTCATTATCTTTAATCTTGAGTAATGTAATTATGATGTGTCATGGTGTGTTCCTCCTTGGGTCCACACTGTTTGGGATTCTCTGAGCTTCCTAGACTTGTATGTCTATTTTCTTCACCTGATTAGGGAAGTTCTCCTCATTATGTTTTCAAATAGGTTTTCAATTTCTTGCTCTTCCTCTTTTCCTTCTGGCACCCCAGTGATTCTGATGTTGGAACGTTTAAAGATATCTTAGAGATTCCTAAGCCTCTCTTCATTTTTTTTTTTTAATTCTTGTTTCTTCATTCTGTTCTGCTTGAATGTCTATTTCTTCCTTCTGTTCCAAATCATTGATTTGAGTCCTAGTTTCCTTCCCTTCAGTGCTGGTTGCCTGTATATTTTCCTTTATTTCACTTTGTATAGCCTTCACCTCTTCCTTTATCTTGTGGCCATACTCAGTCTTTTCTGTGAGTGTCCTGATTACCAGTGTTTTAAACTCTGCATCTGATAGGTTAACCATCTTCTTGTCATTTAGTTCTGCTTCTGGAGTTTTGATCTGTCCTTTCATTTGGGGCATATTTCTTTGTCTTGGCACACCTGTTACATTGCAAGGAGTGGATTGTTAGGTATTCATCAGGGTGGGGCAACCCACTTCAAGGCATTGTGGTACTGTATGTGGGGGAGGGGTCAGAGGGGGAACAATGCTCAACTCTCAGCTGACTTTCAGTCACTTCCCCTGGTACCCACAAGTAAATTGGGCTCCTTCTGGTACTGATTCCCTGATGAGTGGGTTTGTGTACATTCTAGGAACCTGTGGGTCTCTCCAACAAACTCTCCTGTGATTCTGGGAGTTTCTTCCACCATTGCAACCCCCACAGGTTTTTGCAGCCAGAGGTTCTGAGGCTTTAGTTTCCTGTCCTGGAAACCTGTATTGTGAGGTCTGTCTCAGCCCTCAATTGTTACTCCCGGACTATCTGTATACAAATGTGGGATACCCTGGTCTGCCTTCACTGCCTCACCCACCCAGTCCATCACCTTGTCATGTATCCTGTCCACCCTGGCTGCCATCTCCATTCCTCCCACCAGTCTGGATTTTCTTTACCTTCTTGGCTGTCACACTTCCATACAGTTTTATTTTCTGGCATGTCTAGTTGTTTTTTGTTTTTAAATTTCTTGTTGTCCTTCTTTTGGTTGTGCAAGGCAGCAAAGTGTATCTACGTACGCCTCCATCTTGGCTGGAAGCCAGTACTTCATTCCTTTTAGTGGCCAAATAATATTTCATTGTATGGATATACTCTACTTTGTTTATGTGTTTGTCAGCCAATGGACATTTGTATTTCTACTGTTGGGATATTATAAATAATGTTGCTATAGCTTTTATAAGTTATTGTGTGAACATGTATTTTCAATTCTCTTCAGTCAATATCTTGGTTTGAAATTGCTGAGTCATATAGTAACTCTGTTCAAATTTTTGAAAAACAGCCAGACTCTTTTCCACAGTGACTGTACTATTTTACTTTCCCAGACAATCTATGAGGGGTCCAATGTCTTCATGTTCTTTCCAAAATTGTTATTGTCTCTAGTGAGTTTAGTCAGTGTGAAGTGGTATCTCACTGTGGTTTTTATTTGAATTTCTTTAATAACTAATGAGTTTGATAATTTGCCATGTGATTGTTGGTCATTTATATACATCCTATTTTTAAAAAAGTTCTATTCAGATTCTTTGCCCGTTTTCCAATTGGGTTATTTGTCTTTTACTGTTGATGTAAGAGTTCTTTATACCTTCTGGATTTCTGTCCCTGATCAGAAACATAATTTTGCAAATAGTTCCTCTCATCCTATGGCTGTTTTTTTTCACTTTCTGGATGATGGTTTTTTAAAAATGTATTTTATTGATTATGCAATTACAGTTGGCCCATTTCCCCCCTTCACTCCCCTCCACCCTGTACACCCTCTCCCACTCACATTCCCCCCTTTAGTTCATGTCCATGTGTCATAAGTTCTTTAGCTTCTACATTTCCCATAC